TGTTCCCACTTTCTTATTTTCTCACCAACACAAACAGAAAAATGATGCCTGGGCAACGCTGTCTGCTTTTAAAGTGAATTAATTGATAAGGCCAGTACATACCATCACCTATCTTGCACATCTGGAGGGCAGTCTTGCACAACCGAAATAAAATGAGGTAATATGAAACTTAGGAAATCAAGAGGAGCAGAGTTGTGCGGAGTTGATACACATAAGTCACCGATAAATGCCCCTGGGATTCCAGCAAAGTACGAAGCTTCAGAACACACTGCTAAGTGTCTTGGGGAACACTAACCACTAGCTAAGTAGCTAAACCTTTAAAAAGCTAGTAGTTATTTATGGAAACTTTGAATTGGGGTTCTTAAGAAACAACTCCAGGTCATGTGATATGATCATCACTAACGTTCCAACACATTATTGGTTTTCTTGCTGTCATGTATTATGCAAATGGAAGTCAGTGGAAGGCTGAGCAACTTGAGTTTGGAGAGATGGTGTCAATGGACATGCTAGTAAAATCTGTCTTTAGTTGAAAATTCTGCAGCAACTGCTCAACCCAGCATGGCTCCTGTCAAAGCATGTGGTACCCAGACTTCTCTGTTTTGTCTCTTCATTCACAGACGTTTAGAGAATTCTCGTTAAAATTACTTAGAGTGAAACAGAGACCATGTTATAAAATAAATCTAGTTAAATACACTTTGTTGTATTGCCTCATTTGTGTGATGCATGGACCTCATTTTCTTCTCTTTGTGTCTTAACTACGTACATGAGGTGATGCTTGCCAATTAATGCAGGATGTCGCATCCCCAATTGCTTTCTCTATCTTCTTAAACATTAAAAATAAATACATGCCATCTGTCTCATATCTTGAAAGCAATACAAAATGGTTACTTTTGTTTGTTCAGGATTATAGCGCAGTTTATAGCTTTCTTGCTTCTGACTTGTAAGAAAGTCTGTCTCCATTTCATAAATGTAATGTCATTTCATAAAGAATCCACAGGATGGGTAGAAGGCTCTTGTATGAACCTGGGCAAGACAGGAAGCAGTCTTGTGTGCTGACCAAAACCTTGGCCTCAGGCAGTTGAGAGTCTGGACTGGAAGTTTAACTAGTTAAGCCACCTAGGGAAAGCAGCTTAACTTCCTGAACCTCAGTGTTCCTCATCTGTGAAACAGGAACTACACCTACTTTGTGGAGTTCTGTAAGAAATGAAATACACACACATACTCCTAACCCAACCCCTGGTTAAGGCAGAAGAAACAGTTAATATTTTAATTTTAATCACTTGAGGAAAGGAATAATTCAGTTTGAGAAGGGTTGTTAAAAATAGTTCAGGTTAGGGCCTCCGTGGTGGTGCAGGGGTTAAAAATTTCAGTACTATCAAGCTATCACCAGCCACTGCGCATGAGTTCGATTCCCAGCCAGGCTGCTGACCTACATGGTGCAGAAGACCTCTCCTGTTTCTACTACTGCTCCCCTCAGAAGTATATTTCAGTAGATTCACCTGTTCTACTCTCCATTCTGTCTTGAAATGATTATTTCCCCCTCACACACCCACACTTCTGGCCTACATGCCCCGTCTTCTATGTATAAATAAATAAATAAAATCTTAAAAAAATAGTTTATGGTAGCATAAGGTTAAAACATATGGTATTACATATAATAGGCATTTTTGTAGCTATTAAAATACAAAGAAAAACAATTTGATTCCTCTTCTTTGAGCACTTTCCTCCACTCTTCTTTGAGCACTCAGATAAGCTGGGATGTAGGGAAGAGAACTGATGGATTGGAAAAACTTAAAGACTTTGGAAATGATCTCTTAGAGACTCAGAAAATGGCTATAAATGGCACTTGTCAAGGAAGTTTTTTTTTTTTTTCCTTCCTTTGTTCTTTCCCTCTCCCCTCCTCTTTTATTTTTTTTTAAAGTAAAAAAGGGTATGCTATAAAGCACCGAAGGTCTGAATACCTTAACTATAATTAAAGGGGCAAAGGACAAATTTGAAAATGTTCTGATTTCCATGCTGAGTTAGAGATTTTCTTCAACAATACTTTCTACTGTGGCACAAGAGAAAGCTTTCTAGATCCCAGCCAAGTATTCTGAAGATGGTGAACATATAATTTGAAGTCCACCCTACACTCACAGACCACAGAATTGTAGTGCTATATCAAATGCTCTGCACATGTGACCTTGCTGAAAATATTTGGCAACAAAAAAATTGAGGTCCAGAGAAACTCAGCAAATTGACCAGAGTATACAGCTAGTTAGGAGAAGCTAACTAGCTTCTCTTTTAGCTAGATCTGAAAAAAATTTCTAAGCAGACTGAAATTTTTATACTTCTATAAATATCCTTGTTGTATAGCTGATTCCTTGTGCGACAGTTCTCCTAACAGCCTTATTTGAACATAACTGAGCTGTTCGGCATAGTCTTAGCATGACAAAGTGGTCAAGTCTCAATAGTAGCCGAGAATGCATTATCAGGCCTTTATTTAGCCATACAGTCAGGGCAATCCAACTATTAGTCATCTTGACAAGTGCTTCAGAACACAGCACACCCAGGAGTCCTAGAAAAAATGTCATCAGCTTCCTGCACCCTACCACACCACAACTTACCTTTCAAATTGCTGATATGTTTACTGCAGTTCTAGAGCGAAAACTACTTAACACCCCTAATCTGGGGATGCATTTAATTTTTGCCTCCCTGATTATAAAATTAAAATCAATTAGTAATGTAAAACCTGCAAACCTAGCGAAATGAAGAACCACTATGAATTAGTGAGAACCTCGATAACTAAAAACAGAACTTCCTGACAGTTAAACAGAGAGCAATGTTACGCTCATTCCCACAGAAAGCTTCATTCCAGGGCCCCTTCTTCCAGGAAGCACACACTAATCTTATTGTATCGCTACTGATTGATTTAATATGATCAGAAATTAGATGAACCAGTCGCTGCTGCTAGTCACTCAGGAAAAGCTAAGACTAACATCTAAAGCTGTCATGGAAAACATTTCTAAAAAAGCAGCAACGGATTATTGTATTTTCAAATAAAGTCTACATGTCTCTTGTTAGCCTTTAAAAAAACATCAGAGATATAACATCACCTGGTGAGCATGTAAATAATCCTACTTTCTGTTCTATTGTACTCGGCTAGCCAGAGGAGGGGGTGTGGAAGAGTGATTGAACGGGGAAAGCTGGTGTCCCACCATCCCTCCCCTCCATGACAATTTGGCCAGGTGTGTAAGCCAGCTCAGGGAAGGACCTGCTGACTGGAATTGGGCTGCTGGAACAGCTGGAAGTGAAGGGAGTTTCTCAGTGCAAATGCCTTTGCCGTATATTCTTGACTTGAGTGACAGGAAGATAAAACACAGCAAATGTTTTCCTTCTGTGCCCACAAGCCTGGTGGTTGCTTCTGTCAGTCTCCAGAGGACAGAATTCAGGGCATTTCAGGGAGAGCCATGTCAGGCTCCATATTAGCAGCAAGGACACGACACATTTTGAGGAGGGACCGTGAGGCAGGCAAGCAGCCCTCTAGATTGCACAAGGAAGGTTTCCCAAGGCAAAGCCAGGGTGATTAATACAACAAGAATGTTTCAACAACCCCCACAAAAAACAAGCAGAGTCAAGATGCTGATAAGAATTCTTTTATGTTATTCCAATAAAAAATACATTCATACAGAAATATAACAATCTTGCAAAAAACAATTTCAAATAAAATCTTGTAAAACAAAATTTTACAAAAATCTTACAAAGATTCTTTAGATAACAGGGTGCTTCAAAAAAAAACGAAATTTCACTAATAGAAATTTTATTTTAACGTCAAGCAAAAAATTTCTGCTTGATTGAGGCTCAGTTATCACCTGAACAGAATGGAGTTCTTTATGTACTTGCTTATTATGAAAATTACAGGCATTGACATACATGGCACCCAGCCCCACCCAACCAAACACTTCAAGTTTCACAAGTGAGACAAGTCAGTGCATGTTGGGGTTTTTTTTGTTTGTTTGTTTTTGTCTTTTGTTTACCTTCTTGCTTAATGAAATAGTTATGGCTAAGGACACAGCAGAGCCAAAAAAGGAGTTTTCCAAAACCCAGCAAATCAAATGCTTGGATTTTGAATTGCCAAGAAAAAAAAAAGTGCATTTTCCCCCAAGCAAAATGAAATGAGTTCTTTAGGTAAGTGTATGCATCAGCCTAGATAAAAAACCAGTTACGTGAGCTTTCATCACTGCTCATTTCCAGGAAGATAAAACAAAATATCCGCCAGCTAGACTCCTATGTGTGTACATATATGCATGTATGTATATGTATGCATGTGTGTGTGTGTATGTATTTGTGTGTGTGTGCGTGTGTGTGCCAGATCCACACCCACAGTCAGCTGCTGGATGAAATATCAGCTGTCCAAGCTGTGGTATGCCAATTCGGGGAAATTACTCGTTGGAAAAACTGGAAGAATCTATGTGCTGGAAAAAAATAGCTTCATCTGCATAAAAAGAGTTCTAAAAAAATCCCTGTGATTAGCTTACTCTTAGGTCAGATCTTCTAATAAGGCTGAAATTCAAAATCCAAACCTCAGTGTGTCTGAAACCAACTAGTAGGTCAGTACTGCATTCATGCCACGTTTAAATGGCCAAAGGGACTCTATTCCAGACCTGCTGATCATGATGAGCAAAGTCGGTGTCTGGAATAGACTGGAAGCCAAGAGTCTATAGCAAGTCATAAAATGAAAGATAAAGCCTTTATAAAAGTTATACTTTTCATTTTTACCTCCTTTATGGCCATTTTGAAATACTTCACAGGCTGTGGAACTGTCTAACTAAACATTCTAAATTCTCCTTAAAAAAATATTTATATATTATTTATATATATGTATATATATATACACACACTCACATACACATACTGTACACACAAATATACATACACGAGAATTCCACCCACTTTAAAAAAAAAGTAGTATACTTTCTGTATTACCAACAGGTAGCTAGATAGGTATGTGGAACTTGTGCCTTTTAAGCAAATACATTAACATTGTTTTTTTATACTTCTGTATCTTTAACATGTGTGGAATTTTTACCTATTAAATACAGCCGGTGTGTGATCTATACAACTGTTGTGCAAAGTCTACATGAAAGCCTCATGGTGGCAGAAATGGTCAGATTTTCCAATTACCATGTGTTTTCCACTTTAACGCTGACAGTCAAGTTGTCTAAAATACTGAATAAATACTGACTTGTTTGGGAGTTTTCAACTCTCTGTTTGTGAAGGAGGACCTTAAGGAGATGTGTTTTTCTGAATTATACATTGATACAGTACAATGCCAGGTGAAAAAAGAGCCTTAATAAAGCATGCATCACCCATACCCCTGTATGAGACCCCACAGAAGGGCCACTTGCGTAAGGCACCATTATTAAGATCTACAGTGCATTATCAGCTAGAAAACCAGAAATTAGTCCTCAAGGCATAAATAAGAGAAACTTAGCTGCATGAGAAAACAGTTTCTAAGCTTTAGTGGTTTTATCCACCCAACTGAGAAAAATTGTAGGTTCTTTGTCTAATGTAACATCAGACCAGCAATTCCCAGCCCTAGCTTTTTTTCACACCCAACATGTGTCCAATGTCCTCAAAGGGCATCATGAAATTCTCCAAAAAGTTAATTCAAATTCAGAATCATTTAAAAAATAACCCTATACTGCACAATGCCTCTCTGGAAGGGGAGTGTCACAAAACGGAAGGGGAGGCTGTGTATGCCAGGCCAGAGGGCTAGGATCACTGAATTCCACAAATTGTATCTTAGCTGCTCAGTAACTGGAATCAAAATTGTAGTCCTGATTTAAAAATGGAAAAGCATATAGTTCCCCAGACCATGCATTACTTTTGTCTTATAAGGAAAAGTTATCATTGTGTTATATTTGTAAATACACAGCTTATACAATGGGTAACAAATGAGCTCTGTTGTAGCGAGTAAAACAAGCTACTTGACACATTGCACATGTAATAGCTGCACCAGACACGGAAAATTCCTCTCACTCGGGGAAGGGGCTGCCCTCCCCACACCCACTCGCCGCTCAGGGTCCTGACTTCCCATTCCCGCCCTCCATGTTTTCCCTTCTTTTTTTATCTTTTTCCCCCCTAAGGTGCAGACACCCTCCCCCACCCCCAGGAAATGATTGGTGGTCATCTCAGCTCATGGAATACTCCTCACACACAAACACTCAAACTGCTTTTTGTCTGTCTCTCGCATCTCACGACCACAGGGGAGGAGATGCTGCCTCATCACACAGTCTGTAGATCCGTCACACACAGTCACCCCACCATTAACATTCTCAGTGCACATGCTCACGGCAAAGGCTTCGGGACCACTCAGAAGATAGGTACCAGTGGCGAGTCCAGGGCCACCCAACCACCACACCCCACAGGTGCTCCGCCGCTTCTGACATGACGTCTTTAGCCCTCGAATGACCTTCTAAAGAGAGGTCCTGGAGGCAACTGGGTAGGGTGCAAAATGGCATGCTTTGGCTGGAACACGCACCCTCCTTCCACGGCCGTCTCTCAGCGTGGAAGCCGTTTAAGCCGCAGGAGTCGCCGCTGTGCCCCCTCAGAGGTGCCTCTTCATGTGCAGGGCCAGGTGGTCGGACCTGGAGAAACACCTACAAGAGCAAACCCGATGGAGGAGTTAGGTGTCTGGTCCTGTTGTCTTGAAACCCGCCCCCCACCTCCCGACCCAACTGAACCCTCTGGAAGGGAAGGTGGGAAATGATTCACTTTCAGGGGCAGGGAATTCCAGCTGGCAGGAATCTGGATGAAAGAGCCCTGCCTTCTGCTCCTGGGGTCCTCGAACCTGACCTTTTTGCCCAATCTTCCAACTGCAAACTGAGGACAGCCAGTGCTCGGGGAAGTGTGAGTGAAATCACACTTCTCACACACAGGGCCTGTACAGTTCTTCTTAACTCAGACAACTGATGACATGCTAGAGGCACTTAAAAAAGTCCTAGGCTACAAAAAATGCCAATATAGCACAGGGAAGAGTCTGCCTGGCAGTTCTGTTGCCATGCCACTGTTCAGGGGGTGAACCCTAACCCCTGTGTTCCCTCTGGCCTAAGCTCATAGACGTACCTGTCACAGTGAGAACATTTAAAAGGCTTGGCACCAGTGTGCTTTCTGAAGTGTCTGGTTAACTCATCGCTTCTTGCAAAACGCCACTCACAGCCTTCCCATGAGCATCGGTAAGGCTTTTCTCCTGGAAAGAGAACACACAGCACATGGTCATTTCACTGAGCAGTGAGTGAGGTAAGGGTGCTACATCAGAGGGAAGGGAGTCAGCTCATTTGCAAGCTCTGGGGCCTGTGGCCCGGGGATTTATAATATGCTTCACTGGCAGCCAGCAGCTGGCAATCACAGGTAACAGCATCCCTTTCCTCATCTGGCTTCGGGTGCTGTGGAAGGGACCAGGTTTGGCAGAGCCCACATGCCCATAATCAGAGTTAAGGTGAAGGAATGACTATTACTCAGACTGGCGCAATACTTCCGATATGAAGAGTCAGCCCACTGCATCCACAGCCTGGCTGAGGGCAGAGTTTTATTGCTTTCTCCATGGCAACGGTTTCTCTCAAGCACTTATTTTGTGCCTTACACACTCCCCTGTGGAATGAGTCTTTGTAGTTTCCTCCGGGACCTTCCACATTGCTCTAAAACTCGTGAGTTTCTGGGAAAGCCCGTTTGTTCCAAGGCCTTCAAAGCACTTTCTAAATGGCAATCAAAGGAACAAGTCTACTTCATGCCTTGGTCAAATATAAGTTTGAACTCAGTAAAAGTGCTACCTGAGAATATGAAAAAGTTGCCACGGCTGCTGGGTCCTGATCCCCTCTCTGCCTTGAGTCCTTTTGGGACTAAGACTGAGGTCTTCGTGACCTTGCCACCATTATCAAGAGTATACATGACTTCATCTCTAAGACCCCAGCCAGTTCTATCATTTCTGAGGTTTTTCCTAAGTTATCCTGGAGACCATGGGTTAATTTTAAATCGAACATTCCTTTAGGTTGTGGTACTTCATTGAGAGTTGTTTCTGTTTCTTTTTTTTTTTCCTTTTTTTTAAATGGTAGAGAACCAAGGCCTTATATCACAGGGAAGCACCACTGACTAGGTCAAGATCAGCCCTCAGGCCACTGTCAACACCAGCATATGCCATACTTCCCTGTCACCCTCTCCGACCCGTTAGTTTCATTTAAAAAAAAAAAAAAAAAAACAGAGGCAACACAACACAACAATACACGAACACTGCAGACCTGCACAAAGGGTCTTGCTAACCTGGATGGTTGGAGTGGGTGGGGGTTGGGTAGAGATGGAGAATGTGATTTACCTCTTCTGTGTTTAATCTCAAAGTGTCAACCATTCATCAGGCACAAATGTCCAGTCTTTCAGCTCCTACTCTGTACTCCCCAGAGACCCAACTCTTTTGGGGAAAGAATGAGGTGAGGATGTGTCTGTCTGACAGCCTCCTGAGGGCCCGGCCCCCTCCCAGGGCTGGTGCAATTCAGGGGCACCCACCGGCGGCCCCTGCCCGCGTTTGGTGGCAGGAGGCACTGACCTGTGTGAGTGCGCTGATGTGCTTTCAAGTGGGAGCTTTTGGTGTAAACTTTTCTGCAGCCATTAAAGTGGCACCGATGCACCCTCCTCCGGCCGTCGGGGGAGGCGTCCCCACTGCACTTGTCACCTGGCTTCCCGGAAGTCCCACCTCGCATCTTCCCAGGAGGGTGTAGCTCTCCAGACACACAGCCCCACAGTTGAGAGGGTTCCCTGCTCAGTTCTGGAGAAGATGGGGGTGTGGAGGTGACAGAGGAGCTCAGGTTCCCCGAGTTGACTAAAACTTCGCCGATGGGGTCGGAGGTAAATTTAGAGGTGGGTGAAAGTTCCTCGGAGCTGTCTGATGCCTCACTGCTCACATCCGAGTTTAAGCTGTTGGTCTCCAGGTTGTAACCAAAGCTGGGGCTGTTCAGAGCATCCTCAGGGGGACTGGAGGAAATCTTCAAGTCGGAGTCCTCCTTTTTCTCTCGAGCCAGAATGATTTTGGTCCACAGATCTTCCTGGCTGTCAAATTTGATCTCCGAAGCTGACACGTAGCAAGGTTCACTCTGCAGGTAACGTTCCAATTCCAGGCAGGTCTGTGCAAAGGAACCACAGGGAGACACGTGATGATTACTACTCCCGGAAACAGAACCGAAAGCACCTTTCCAACAACATGCAGGCATAAAGGGCAAAGGAACAATGGCTCTCTCACTAAAGACCGTTCATCATTAAGAATCTGCGTCTTCAGGAAAGTGAAAGAAAATTACAGTTTCAGAACAAAAACCAGGTGAAATGAGTCCTGGCTTCCCCCACTTAGACCAGTGGCCACAATGAGTACTGATCTGTGAGCCAGTTTTTGTTTTAGTAACCAGTGTTGATGTTGCTAATGAGTTTCCAGTAAACCACACAAAGAAAACCATCCTCAGACACATTTCCCGCCCCCCCTCCCAACAGGTTTAACTAGATTATCTGACAACCTCAAGAAGTATGTTCATTAAGAAAGGCCCCAGAAAGGCAGCAGCAACATGCGCAAGGCAAGGTATTCTGACATCATGTGTCTCCCTTTGGAGACACAGCTGATAGCATAGGCCAGGCAAACAGCAGATGGCAGCTAGGATGGTCTACACTCAGGGACTTCTATGGAGCTGCGGAGAAACTACCCATTTCCTGCTTAGGGAGACCCGGGAGGCTTTCAAAGAATGCCATTCCCAAGTGCAGGGCCCGCACACCACAAACTTTAATGACTTCTACAGTGGTCAGAGAAAAACAAGGAACCACAACAACAAGAGAGGAGAAATAATTCCAGAATAGCCATCTGCTATTGTAAAGGAGGCAAGAGGGGAAATTACTCCCCGGCCCTGCTGGGAGTCCCACAATGGACAAGAACTTTATCTACTGGCCAAGAGTACAACTGTATGAGTCATCACTCTATTTCTTTCACGCAATGCCAAAGGAGACTTCCTTTTGAAATTCTGACCGGCAGCCAAAAAAATGGTCCCAGTTCAAATATACATGCAGTGTGTCATGGACAGAGCGCCCTCTCCCCAGGCCAGCAACCAACCTTTCAAGAAGCTACACCTGCCGGAGACCAGCATCCCCTCTCCCCACCATCTCAAACTTTCTAGCCACTGGAAAAGAAAAATGGTAGGAAACATTTTAGGATCAAGTCATGCCTGCCTTTATCTTTATAGGATCAATAGCCTACATGTCCATATAAGGCTGTCTATAGTAACGTGCTACAGATTTAAATTTCTAAAGCAAGCTCAGTTCTTTCTTAGCAAATCTTCTTCAAGACCAGCAAAGCCTACCCAAATACTCGTGCTTGCTTGCTTAGCAGTGTGCCTGCTATCATAACATAGCACATACTTGTCTTCCTCCCCACACACTTCTCACATAGCAAGCATGAGCAAGCAAAGAGGGGAAATCATTGTTTTCTCTTTACCCCTAAAATTAGATGTCTGAGTTACAACACACACCAAAGTGCTCTGAGGAGAGATGGCAAGATCTTTTATTGATGTTCCAAGAAAAAAGAAGGCACATTTATTGAGATCTTGTTAAATTTTAATAATCTGGCTAATTTAAAATCTCCATTATGCTGATGAACACTGGGGACCACGACGAAACTCTGGGAGAGTTTAAAAGCCTCTGAAGGGGAGAAGCAGCTCAGCCTGGCTTGTGGCCCAAATCCCAAATGCCCGAAGGAAACTACTTAGATCAATTTCAATCATGTCCTAGGGAGCTGCTTCTTTAGGAGGAAAAGGGGGGGGGGAGGGGAGAGGAAGGCAGAAGAGGGCTGCCAACAATTAAGCAGGCATGTGAAGGTTGCAACACTTCACATTTCATCCCTCTTAAAAGCTTTCTAGGCTTTGAAACCCACAGAATATATCTCATCTGCTAATTCACTTTGTGGAAAAAAGCAAACAGCCTAGCAGGGCTAAGCCTAAACCCTTCTTCTTTATTAAAGACAATGGAGCAAGTGTCAGAATCTCTCTCCCCTTCCTCATTCTAAAGAATGGGGGCGGGGGAGGAGGGGAGGAGGAAGGGGCTAAGTTTCTTAAATGTACGATGTCAAAAATTCAGTTTCACAAAAAAAAAAAAAAGCTGTAAACACAGATTCTTCTTCCCAAACTAAGACTTGAAGCAATTCGGCAGGACTCACTGTCATATGACTGGGTAAGTCACTGGTTGTGCAAACATCATTGGTTTTTTTTTTTTTTTTAATGGTCAACAATAAAAGGTAGGAAAAACAAGGCAAATCTAGACAAATCTTAAGGAATCCAAACAGGAAAAGAAACTGAAAATGGCCTGGTAGAGAAAAGGAGTTGGTAGATGTTTTCGCTGGCGAATTTTTTAATTAAAAAAAAAAAAAAAACTCTATGTACAAACAGCAAAAAAAACAAAACAAACCCAAGCCCTTAAAAAACACCCTTGGCCGCAAGTTCACTTGACAAGATCCAGCTGTGGAGTCTGGACCTGGTACAAGCACCAAACTTCTGCCAGGGATCGGTGGGGATCGCGCCGCGGAGCTGGGTCTGCCTCGGGAGGATGCGGTACCAAAGCCCCAGGAAAGGGCAAAAACACTCGGGAGCGACGCAGGGCTGCTGCGCTCCACTCAAATGACAACTCTGCTCCACGGCGTAAAAGGTTCCTTTAAAGTGCCTATCGCACTGGAGGCAGTAGATCTATGTTTTAGGAATATACATATTTTTAATTTTAAAGAATTTACCTAAACCTTACAAAAAAAATAAAAAGGAAGAAGAAGAAAAAATATATATCTCCAACCACACACCATCCTGTCTGTGCGTGCATGCACTCCCAGCTCGGTGCACCCGGCACCTGGCACACGAAAATTCCTATTTACCTGTTGCCAATATTCCTCCAGGGAGGGCAGCGCCGAGAAGTAACCCGTCTCGTGCACAATCTGGAGTTCCTGGAAGATGCTGCACATTGGGAGTACATCCATGTCGGGTTGGAAAAGACAGTTACTGCTGTTGTAAAAACAGGGAGGTGTGCGGTCTGGAGTCGGGAGCGTAGCAGCACTGCCTGCAGCTCTGGAAAGTTTCATGCAAACTCAACTGCACAGCAATTAGGCGCCGCGGGTTCGGATCCTGCCGGAGCCCAGAGACGCGCTCGCGAGCCCACACAATATTTGCAAACACTGGACTGACTGCAAACGTAACCCCTGCAAAACTTCCCTATTCAAAGCTCGGCTGCCAGCCTCCCCCTCCTCCCCTCCTGACTCCCCCCACTCCCTCCCCCCCACGTGACTCGTCAGCGCCCGCCCCGCGCACCGCCCAATCACGCCGCGCCCGGCCCGGGGGCCGTGCGCCGATGATGTCAGCTTGAGCCAATGGCGAGAGGTAACACACAGCGGCCCCGCCTGGCGTGACCGAGCCTCTTCATGACATCCTTCGCCATTGGTTCAATTCGAACTTTGGCCGGCTCTGATTGGGAGAAGGTCTCGCAGGCTATTTTTAGCAGGGTATATAAGACGCTGGCTGCCGCGCGCCGGAGGAGTCGGCGTTGGGAGGTGCGCGGCCGAGCGGCTCAGTGCGCGGTGGCCGGGGAGCCGGGCGTCCCGTCTTGGTCACCGGGGCTCGCACCCGGCCGGCCACCGGAGGAACGGCTCTGTGGCCGGCGGCGGTCAACCGGGCCGGGTCCATGTCGTCTCCTGGCTTCGCTATAGGTTCCTTTTGGCCTCGGGGCGCCCAGAACCCCTCTATCCTCCACCCCCCTCTGTCTCCACTCAATCTTAAGGCCCGCGGCAGGGCCACCAGAGTGACCCGGGAAGGAACAGGATTGTGGCCCGCAGTTTCTGTTTGGAATTTTTTGGGGTGGGGGAAGGGAGTGAGTTGGTCTAGTTCATGGAGTCACCTGAAATACCTTCTTTGTGAATCCTGTTCTGCTCAGACCCTCTCACCAGGCTGGGAGGGGGTGGAGAGACACATACCTGGGACTCCTACCTGCCTGCGTGGGTACCAGGTGCTCTATTAGGCTTTTCCTTGAATGTGTAAACAATTTAAATGAGATTGAAGCCCTTGCTTCATGCCTATGTTCTCCTAAAATAGATTACTAGCGTTCAAGAAAAATGCCAAAGAATGTACATTCAAAAATTAAAAATAAAACAATGAAGTTATAGCTATTTTTGTTTCAAAATAGTTTTTATAAACATCCTTATAAAGAAGACCTTTAAAATAACATCCTTTTGAATTTAAGTTCTGAAATAAGTAAGAGAACTTTGAGAGGATTTTGCATGTTAAGGTTTTAACAGACTAGAACAAACTGGAATATATCAAGATTATGAACCTGTTTTGATTCTTGGCAGGGGCCTTTGTGAATCAAAAGAAAGAAAAGTTTATTGCTGTATTGTGGAGACTATGAAGATAATCCAAAATGAATTGATAAAAATTATTGACCTATGTCTTATTTCATCCCAGAAACAAAGGCATGACTTTATAGGTGACACATGCACCCTGAGTCTCTTTCCAGGATGGAAATGGTTTGGCCTTGAATCATGCACAGGCTCACAGGTTGATCCACAGCTTTCACACACACCCTCCCTATCCTCACTACGCCCCACCCACCCCCACAGCAGCTGGTATTATTTGGGAAATGTTTCCAAGAGTGAGGTTATATTGGGGTTTTCTCAATAATTAGCAGTTACCAAAGGAAAGGAGTATCCAGTAAATATATACAGAAAGCCAGCATGCTGGACCATTTGGAAAAAAGAGTGTTGTCAGGTGAGGAAGATAAATCAGAATGTCCGGTTTTATAATTTTCTTTGTCCATGTTCCTATAGACTACAAATATGTCTTTGTCTTTTACTTGGCAATGCCCACTTAGTGGAAGATTGTATAGTTTATTTTTAAAAGTGAACCTAATTGGACATGATACAGATATTTCAAAATAATACTTTAAGGGGAAACAAGTGTAAACTGTCAACATTCACACCCTGACTGTCTAGATACCAGGGATATATATTTTTTCAGAATGGACAATAATCACATGCAGGGATACCAAAGGGAAAAGTATATCCTAAAAGAGGATATTTATCACTACTAGGATATGCAATTATTTGGTGAATATAGAATATCATTTTTTTACATGAAAAATAATATGCGTAGGGTCTAAGTGTTCATCATAGTACCTGCAGAATCAGTCCTCCAGAAGGGGAAGAGTGTCATGTATAAAATGGTGAACTTTTTACTCTAGTTATTTGTGCACTGTATGTGTGGCCTTGGTCACCACCTTTGAATAAGAGATGAAATTCTTATCACAGTTTGGTAGAACTGACAGAGATGATGCATTAAAATCCTCAGTATATGGCAAATAGTAGTCATTTAACATTAATCCATCACTTAATTTGTTGTTGACATTTATCTTCTAATTCCCCTTATTTTCTAAATTGATGAATAATGAAGCCAATAAAATGGATTCACCTTTGCAAGTCAATAGCCTTTTTTCCTAATGAGAGATTCTTCTTTTCAATTGTCATGCTGCTGGTCGGTCCCACCATTTTCACAGTCAGGACCCATTTCATGTGACTGCCCTGAGTTCTTTTCACATCTTGGGTGATAGAAGTGTCTGACCCCTGGCTAATGTCACATCATTTCACCCCCCCCCCCAACATATTTCTTCCCTACTTCTCTCTCACATGTCTGGGAAACACTCATTTGCTTTAAACTACTAAGTTCTTGTTGACAAATTAGGAAAAAAAAAAAAAAAAGCAAGCATTGCTTATAAAAATTTGCATTCAAACCTAAGTTTTAACTTAATTGAGACTTACATATGGCATATTGGTTTTGAGTACTTCTGATCATGCTATTTTTTCTAGAAAGTTCTAGGGGGGTATTAAGAGGAATCCTAAGAAAATATGAAATATGTTAAGGATATATGTTCATACATATCAATGTTTTGTAGAAAGAACAAAGGAGGCAGAGATGAGAATCAACATTAGATAAATCTGTACTGTACATTAGCCACTATGGTAAGCCCTTTCATTTTATTCCACTTAATTCCCCCACATCATTGTGAAGTAAGCACTATAATCCACAGTTAAAAAAAAAAAATTAGAGCTCAGAGAAATTGTGTGACTTGCTCAAGAGTCTAAATTTGCCACATTACAGGGTAAATATTTCAAATTTTTCTTTCTTATTCCATAGACTGCACTTCACACCTGTCCAGACATTCTCAAATGTAAATTCTTCAACTTGACAGTGTATAAAGGCCATCTGAGGAGTTGGTCACTGACAGAATTCTAGGGTGACCCAGTGATTCATGCCCTACACTGTTCCCTCCTCTGAGAGACTACCAGTGTGATGGGAAATCCACTCATGAATAGATTGCTATCAGCTGACTTTGACTTGACCGAAAGGCAGAGTATGATGAGTGTCCTTTCAGAGAAAGTGTAGCTCTTCTGGTCTCAGAGGATATAAAGCCTCAACAGTTTTATAGCTGTAAGGCCTACTTTCTTCTCACCACGAACTTGAGTTAGAATAAAAGAACTCCAAACACCAGATAAGACCACAGTCCTGAGTAGCAGCCAAATTTCATTCTGTGAAACCTCAGCAGAATTCCCATGTTCTTGGACTTCTCAACTACATAAACTGTAAGATAATATGTGGGTGTTATTTCCAGCAGCAACATATATGGCAAATTCTTATAGCAACAACAACACAATAAAATAAAATAAATAAAGATAGATGTTGTTAGAAATTCATTTTCCTAGGTCTTACTTCAAGAGTTTGGTCTTGTGGATGTGTTGATGAGGAATGGAACCAGGAAGCTGGGATTTTTATGAGCATATGTGAAACAGTGTAACACACTTTAAAAAGCAGTGATCTAGGATTCTGATCTGGAAAAGTAAAAAGCAGTGGTCTAGGATCTGATCACAGAAAAGTAGCTCCTACTGGAAAAAGTCTTCTGCATGTAACAACTGGACTGGTCAAAATAAAAACTACTGCCTGATTGGACACATTTGCATAGACAGGGTTAAAGGGGAAAATCAAAGAAAAATTTGGAAAAGATTTTGAATTGCATAATAAGGAAAATAAGACAAACAACAAGTTTGTGTTATGTGGCTAAAGTAGTACTTAGAGAGGCATTTATGTTTAAATACTTATATTACAGAAAGAGAAAGCTCTACAGTCAAAAACATAGGGTTTCACTTGAAGAAGCTAGTAGAGGTAATAAAATCATTACATAAGAAATAAATTTAAAGTAACAGAGAAAGCAACAAATTAAGAAATTGACCAAACCAAAAACTGATTCTTTAAAAAGTTAATGATTTAACTGGACTGATCAATGGAAACACACAATAAAAATTAGCAATATCAGTAATAAAAAAGAGACTAGAACTACAGATCTGTATACTTATGATAAAATCTTATAAAAGAAGCAATTTATACAAAAGGAGTGTTCCTTGAAATAAACAGACATACCCAAAATGAAGAAAAACAGAAGATATGTTTAGATAGTGCTGGATCTACTAATGAAATTTATTTTATTATAAAATATTTCTAAGATTTTCCCCTGTAGTAGTAGAAAATACTTCCCCTCTTGTTTGTGAATTCAACATAAGTCTCATATCAAAACCTTATCAAGACATTAAAAAAAAGAAGAAAAAACAGTATTTCATAGAATACTAACAAATTTGATCCAGTGGTATATAAAAAGTCTAGTGTATCATAACCTCATGGAATTTACCCTCAGAATACAAGGCTGGTTTAACACTTGTAACTAAATCAATGTAATATACTATGTTATCAAAATGAAAAGGGACAACCCATAGAACCTTATCATCATATGCAGAAGATTTGACAAAGTGCGATGCCTATTCAACTTACAAACTTGCAGAAATTGGCAGTGGAAGGGAGCAACCTTAGTCTGGTAAGGACCCAGAGCAGTGTCTGCCGCTGCAGGTGCTCTTCAGTCTCTTGTAGCAGCTGCACTTCTCCCTCCACACTGAACAATACTGACAGCAGCTGTTTGCTCATTTCTCTTTTTTATTTGAGGGTTGAGACTTGCTTATTCTCTATGTTCTTGTATGTACAAATGGTCATGCTCCTTTCAGAGGTGAGCTCTTAGGGAAAACTTTCTACCCCTCTCCGTGCAAGAAAATAATTTTGCTTCTTAGATTTCAGTATCTGGGATCCTATCATTTCCTGAAC